TTTTATTTTTATTGACATTTTTTCAGATTTTTTGGAGGGTGCACACTGAATTTTTCGAATGAAGTACCCTTCGGTGGAACAGCGGAGCCGGAGCCGGGGGACAACAGGAACAGGGCGGCCGCGGGGGCCGCGGCCACCGCCACCACCCGGGCGGGCGGGAACGGATTGTTATGTGGTGGCGGAGAATAAATATGGCGCTCGATAGGCGGGCCGCGTCCGAGGGGCCCCGCCCCGCCGCGGCCGACACAGCACAGCACAGCGGGCAGCACAACACCTCCGGACGCGGCGGCCTGGACGCGCACACCTTGCGCGCGGCGTTAATTAGATACTAGTTACTGATTTATTGCGGTAATTACGAGTGATTTCAGCCGGGCGGGTTGGGGCCGCGGGGTCAGCCAACCCGCCGCGCGACCGGACCGGATGAGTAGAGGAGAGAGGGCGGGACCCGTTCGGTACCCGCTGATGGACCCCTTCGACCCGGCCCCGGCCGCAAGGTGTGTGTGCGCGCCAACGCCGCCAAACTGGGCTGCTGTGCTGACATGTCTATTGCGCCAGCTGCGGGGAGGGGGCGTTGGCATCACACACACACACGCACACAGAACTTGCACACACGGTCATGGGGGTCGCGCACAAGTTTCGTCATTTTCGAGGGGTGGGGTACTTTCATCACGTCACCATGTTTGCACTCAGCGTTGCGAACGAGATTGTTTCGGAGGCCATGATAATTAGATCCCCGTAGGTAACGTTTTCCCGGGAGGGATACCTATTTCATAGCATCTAAAAAGCTTCCACTTTCAAACCTGAACTCACAGAGAGGGCCGTGAAAAAAAGGAACCCCACTTCTGAAAACGACGTTTTTTTTGGTGCACGGCCCCATACTGCACGGCGGCGGCGGCCCCGTGGCTAAAAGGGTTCATAAAGCATGACTCCGGGCGCGTGGGGTATCGACAGCGCGGCCGGGCTAAGGAGCGGCGCGTGGCCGGGAGTATTGACAGCCCGCCCCGGGCGGGAGCAGGCGGGAGACCCCATCTCCATAACGCATGTTTCGAGTCCAGGCCGGGCCGCCCCTGCAAGCCAAGACCGTGTGGACTGCGGCTGGTCCTCGAACGGACGACTCCAAACGGGAAACGGGCGACATCCGAAGCCCAGAGAAAGAACCTCCAACAGGAGAAGCCGTCGTGCGAGAGACGCGACAAGTCTCGAAGGTCACTATGGCGCGAAAAGGAAATTTGAATTTCAAGTACTTTTTTCGAGAGGGTAGGGTGTCGGGCGCCCAAAGGAGATTCAATTACCCGGTGCGATATTTATGCCCCCTAATTCTAGCGGCACCCTCAGAGAGCGCCCGCCAACGTGACTTTAAAGTGACCGCACCGACGGGGCTTGTAGGCGTCAACAGTTAGTCAGAACGGACCACTCACTGACACTCCCACAGGTCCCACTTGAACGGCTCGGGCGAGACGAGAAAAGGCTCGCTGATTTACAAGAGGCAAAGATCAAATGTCATTTTAGCGATGTGACTTAGTTCTATCCTTTGCTAGGCTACAAAAAAAAAACTCAGTTGTCCTCAGAGGGCAAAGGTTGCATCAAGTTCACGAAATGTTTCACTGTACCACTCCGTCTTCAGGCTACATAATAATAGTCTCACACATCCAAACCCAACAAGTGAAAAGAATAAAAGATCCGTATGGTACATACATCTTTCTAAATCCCTGATCCCTTGGCAAGTGTCTACCTCAAACTCACTTCCCACTGTTCCCTACGCACCTTGGAGTTACTTTCCTGAAGTCTTTTATCCAGATATCGTTCTATAAGCAATCAGGATCCAAATCAAATCACAGGATCCATATTAACCAGCAATATCAAAGATTTTTTTATTCTTTGCTTTGTTGTTAAAAGCTGTGGCCGCAATAATTTTGAAGGTGTCAAGACTACTGTTGAGAAGCAGTTCACCAATCATCAAAAAGCAAGTCTGAGGTGAGCCAAGTTACCCTGCTTGATTTGCAAATCACTGGCCTCAAACCAAATTCTCAAACAATTAAAACTAGTCTGGACCAGCTTGCACTATCAAGGGCAAGTGTTTTCACCTCAAGAGCACAAATACCACGACACTATAGAACAGAATTGAGATCTGTCATTGAATTAATGAGCTTGGCAACGCTGACAAAAAACGGTATCAGAGCGAAGCCACGAAGAAGGGCAAAGCTGAATAGGCACGCAGCCTCAGCTCGCAAAACAGAACAAAAAACGCCCAGTTCTTTCTGCTCAACTCATGATGAATACTTCTTAAATATAACTAAGACACTAGTTTATCGACGCATCAAAAGAGTAGATAGTTACTAACCTTTCAGTAGAATGTTGCTCTGAATGAACCAAAAGCCGAAGACACAGGGACAGCTTCTGCACCTCCTACGCCTGTAGATGAAAACCAGTCAATTACTACACATGACAGTTGCCTTTTGCATTTCAGAGGTTTTCGTGGCTTACAGTTTTAAATTAAGTCATTGCAAAAAATAATTCAGGGCAAATTTTTGCAAGCACGTTTTGCGGCTAGGTTATGATTCAGGTTATGCGGTTAAACTGAGCTACTTGAAAATTTGACACTAGGCAACATCATTCTATCGAAGGAACGATGCAATAGATTTCACTTACCTCAAAATCAGCTCAATTTCACAGAAAACCACCGTAAATCACTAAGAAATTTCGCATTTTAGTTCCGACCGCCTGTTGATTGCGCAAAAACACCGAGACTACCCTACACACTACTGCCAACTTGCGAATGCGAACTGAAACCAGACGCGCGAAACACGAACGACAATGTGACGCGAATGCGCATTGAGGACCGTTTCTCTTTCTGAAAATTAATTTGATTTCATTTCGACTTCTAGGACCCGCGCTGGTGAATTTGCAAACGCTTCCAGATCAGCCTCAAATTGAAAACGAAACAATTCGAAATTTCCGCCTCATCGAAAACGACTGTCAACTTTACCGCGCGCCATTTTGTTTTTGCGTTTCCGTCGTCCTGATTGGCTACAGCATCCTCGTTCAAACTTCGCGATCTCGGCGGGAAGATAAGGTAGGGGCAGAAGGGCGCGCCCTTTGCGTTTGCGTTTCGACTTGATCGAGTTGTCTCGAGGCCCTCCTCGGCCGGGTGTCAGTCAGGGCGGCTGTCAGGTCCCGTGACCGCGGTGGTGTTTGTCAGTTTGTCGGGGCTGCTCGCGCCCGGCCGGTGACACCACTGACGTGCAGAGTAAACCTCCCCCTGCCTGCACCTCCTCCCTCCTTGCTGTCAGCGTTGCGTCGACGGCTTGCTAATGAGCCCCAGGAGCAGGGCGTAACCGTCGTGTGTGGCCCCCGGGGGGGCTGCCGCCACCTCCGCCGCCGCCGCCGCAGCTGCTGCTGCTGCTGCTGCTGCTTCTGCTGCAGGGACTCCTCGCCGGTATAATGACAAGCCCAACCCCGTCCATGTTTCGCACCTTTCTGCTGCCGAGGAAGGAGAGCGGCCGGCGTTGGCAGCGAGCGCAGCACATGACGGAAATAATTAAACGGACCTAATAATGAAATCCAAACACACCCTGGAGGCGAGAGCTGCTGCTGCTGCTGCTGCTGAGAGGGATGGGGCAAAAAAATAAAATAAAAAGGCGCACGGCAGACTCCGTTGGTGTGAAAGACACCCTGCTCGGCGACGCCTGAGTGGCAGAGGGCTGTAGGAGGAGCGGCCGCCCCCAACAACCTGGGGACCACCTGCGTCGTCGTCGCCGCCGTCCTCCCCCTCTAAGCAGAGAGGTAGAGCAGTACGTCATCCGGAACTGGAGCGGACGGCGCACGGCGGCATACCTCGGGTGATAATGAAGAGAACACCGCCGGTGACATGTGCTCGGCAGAGCCACGACGACGCCGTCCTCGTCTATCGACGCGGCGCTGCTCTCTCTCGCTCCCTCTCTGGACCGCGCGGCCTCGGCGCCGGGGGCTATACCGTCCCGTCGAGCAGCCGCGCGCGGCGGGTGGCCTAGCGCGTCCGCGCCGGCGGCGGCGACCCGGACGCGAGCGAGCGCTAACCGCGCCGCCACCCCGCGGTCTCCACGGTCTCTTATCTCTGATCACCCCCCCCCCCCACACACACACTTGACTGCCGCTCTGGTGGAGGAGGGGGAGAGGTGGGGGGCAAGAAGAAAACAACAAGGAGAGGAAAATATGACGTGATAATTGGCACGTAACGCTCAATGAATCACTGAACGCTCCCCCGCCACAGCGGCCGACTGTGAAAGTGAATAGCAAATATATCAAAATTATTGCTCAAATTAAGGCTAGAGGAGACGTGTGCAAGCGCCTCGAGCCCGGGCCATATTTCACTTACGCCCCGCATGTGTATACAACAACACAACCAACCGCACGGCTCGCCCGCTCAGCTGATAAGCCCGTCGTGGCAACACAAAATGAGAATAATAATAATAACGGGCAGTTACAACAATAAGAGAAGTTGGCGTTTCCGTCGTCGGTTACACCTACCTCGGACCTGCCAGCAGAACATCTTGGAAATGCAGCCGCACGATCTCGCGGCATACTAAAAGGAGTATAGGGAAATCAGCGGGGAAACATCTATGAAAGTTAGCGAAGAGGGGGAGGGAGGACGACTCCGTGGCCAGCAGCCCATAGCCAGCGACAAGCGGCATGGCAGTTCACTTCTCTACGATGCTTTTAGCTCTTTTATTACTTGTTTTGGCAGCGGACGAACGACCCTCTGTCTCTCTCACGACTCCATCATAAGCAGCAGCAGCAGCATCATGCGGTATGGTATGAGAAACTACTGCGCGTCCGCGTCGTTTGGAGTGGAGGCGGAAATGGCGCGCGCGAGTGTCGCGAGTGGCGGCGGGACCCGGGCGGGACCCATTCCGCGGGCGGGCGACCCATCGCCGTCATCTCGAGGGACATCATCTTCGAGCAAGGGGCAAGGGGATCGCCCCGACGAGGCCATCTCGGCGGCTGGACACAAGAGACGCGACACGCGGTGGTGCCGCCCGAGCAGCGCGTGGGAGGTGGGGAGGACGCTATGCCGCACGTGTTTCAACCACAAAATGTGGCCAAGATAAAACGCCCCATCCCGGCGCCAGACGCGCCATACGCTGTTGTGCCATGTTTCTAATATGGCCGTCGCGGGGAGATTTGTCCTCTCGGCAGGAGCTTGTGGTGCCCGGGCTGGCCGGCCCCTTCCTCCCCTCCTCCTCCCGCCCCACCTCGCCCTCCCCCCATCGCTCTCGGCGCCAACCCTTCCTCGCCGCAGAGAGTCCGCGCCGCGCCAACGCTACCAACCCTTGCAAGCAAGGGGGACAGGCCAGCCTGGCACCAGGAAGACAAATAAAAGGAAATCCTTCCTAGAGACTGTTCCTCTCGCGGCCCCACCCCGCCCCGCCCCGCAGCAGCCTTTTGGATCCCCTCGCACCGTGGAATTTATATGTCATGTGGTCGGCCTGCTTCGCCTGCTTCGCTTGCCCCGCGTGCTTCTGGCCAGACCCAGAGCCTCCCGCACCGCCGCCGCCGGTCCAATATCTGCCTGCTGGGCACTGCGGAAACGAAAAGCAAAGCGGGAAGGGACAAACAAAAAGCAAACAAAAAAGAAACAGCCAGACGAACAAAATAAAATAATAATTCCAGCGGGAAAGGAAAAAGCGTCGGACCG